TCCAGACCTTGCGACGCACTCAAGAGGCCAACCTGTGTACTGCAGCGTCGTCGTCCAGACCTTGCGACACCCTCAAGAGGCCAACCTGTGTACTGCACCAGCGTGGTCCAGACCTTGCAACGCACCCTCTAAGTGGGAATCGGGGGAGGAGGCCAAGCTCCGTTGATTGTGGGAGAAACTGGGGAAGGGCAAAGTCTTGTCTGGGCAGAGCAAGGGAGAGGTAGAACAAAGGAGAAGGGAATTCAGAGGAAGAGCCAGGCCGACTCCCTGTTCATCCTAGGGCACGCAGGGAGGAACGGAGAAGGGAGCAACGGGGGTGGGCTGGCTTATGGGGGAGGAAAGGGTCCTGATTCCCTTCATTTTAAAGAGAGGGTTTTTAAAAAGGGAAGTTGCTCACCGCAAGTCGTTGGCAGCAAACCGTTAAGTTATCTTTGTTTGTCGAGGCTTACCTGGGTTCCTGCCGTCTTCCCAACAGGTGTGTGTGTGTGTGTGTGTGTGTGTGTTTGCTGGCCTTACAAGCCTGAAATTCCTTCTCCCGCCCTGTCCAGTTCATCGCCGCCCGCGTGGTTTGTTTGGACTTTTAAGTTACAGTTTGTGATGACCTTGCTGTGGACTTGAATTTCCTCCACTGTTCTTCTTCTCTCTTCCTCTCTCTCTGTATGTCTCTCTTTCTCCCTCTTTCTCTTTTTCTCTCTTTGTCTCCCTCTCTCTTTCTCTCTCTCTTTCTCTCTCTCTCTCTTTCTCCCTGTCTTTCTCTCTTTTTCTCTCTTTCTCCCTGTCTCTTTCTCCCTCTCTCTCTCTTTCTCTCCCTCTCTCTTCCTCTCTCCCTGTCTCTCTCTCTCTCTTTCTCTCTCTTTCTCCCCCTCTCTCTCTTCCTCTCTTTCTCCCTTTCTCTCTCTCTCTCTTTCTCCCTCTGTCTTTCTCTCTTTTTCTCTCTCTCTCTTTCTCCCTCTTTCTCTTTTTCTCTCTTTGTCTCCCTCTCTCTTTCTCTCTCTCTTTCTCTCTCTCTCTCTCTTCCTCTCTTTCTCTCTCTCTTTCTCCCTGTCTTTCTCTCTTTTTCTCTTTCTCCCTCTCTCTTTCTCCCCCTCTCTCTTTCTCTCCCTCTCTCTTCCTCTCTCTCTGTCTGTGTCTCTTCCTCTCTCTCCCTGTCTCTCTCTCTCTCTTTCTCTCTCTCTCTTCCTCTCTTTCTCTCTCTCTTTCTCCCTCTGTCTTTCTCTTTTTCTCTCTCTCTCTCTTCCTCTTTCTCCCTCTCTTTCTCCCTCTCTCTCTTTCTCCCTCTGTCTTTCTCTCTTTTTCTCTCTCTCTCTTCCTCTCTTTCTCCCTCTCTTTCTCTCTCTCTCTCTTTCTCCCTCTGTCTTTCTCTCTTTTTCTC